AAATAACAGTATCTAGTTTGTATTAAAAAATAGATTACAGTGCTCATGGTAGTTGTCTCTGTCTTAGCTTCTGAAAATGGAGACAGATTTTAAAACTAGTTTTAATAATAGTCAGTTGCTTCCTTACATGTTGCTCCTTAGTCACTGTAAGTTATTAATTTTGTGAATCATTGTAAAAATTAGGAATCTACAAATATGTGTTCCATAAAGAACATAAATCTACATATTCTATTTATAACATGTAAATTTTTAGAGTTCTACATGTAACATGTTATATGACATAGACCTCTTAGGAGGAAGAGGAACTCAAAAATGCAATTAATTTAAAAACATCTTTGCCTGAATATTGTTCAAACACCTTCAAATTGGATACCAGGTACAATGGAAGTACATCTTTAATGTAATTTAAATTGTTTACAAAATGAATGCAAGTAGTATACTTTAGTAGGTTTTTTTTTTTTTTTTTTTTTTGAGTTGGAGTCTCACTCTGTCGCCCAGACTGGAGTGCAGTGGCCGCTCCCGGCCACCACAGCCTCAACCTGCTGGGCTCCGGCGATCCTTCCGCTTCAGCCTTCCAAGTAGCCGGAATTACAGGCATGCACTACCACGCCCAGCTGATTTTTTGATTTGTTGTAAAGATGAGGTCTCACTGCCCAGGCGGGTCTCGAACCCGCGGGCTCAGCCAATCCACTCACCTCAGCCTCCCAAAGGCGCGGGATTGCAGGCTGAGCCACCGAGCCCGGCTAGTAGGTGTTTTTACCCATTGTGTTCACACACATGGGCCATGAAATACTCAAAAAGAACCACCTTTGGGCCTGCTGAGACCTGGCTTCCCACCAGCTCATCCAAGAGCTAGTAGTGCTGTCTTGCTGGGCCTCAATTTCCCTCTGGCTAACCATGAGAGGTTGACTTAGCTGATGTCTAACGTTGCTTTTCCTAGGTCGCAGCTCATCTGAATCTGGTTGGTGCTAAGATGGGTTTACTGCACAGTCCTCTCTTCCCCGCCCTGGGCCTCCCGACTCCATTCGTCATCTTCACCTCCATGGTCTCTGTGTTTTGAAATCATTTCCTCTGATTCTGAATGCTTCCATCAGTCTTCTATCAGTCCTTCCATCAGTCCTGACATCAGTCTCCCATCGGTTCTTCTATCAGTTCTTTTCCATCAGTCCTTCCATCAGTTCTTCTAGTCTTCTATCTGTCCTTACATCAATCTTCCGTCAGTCTTTCCAGTCCTTCCCTCAGTCCTGCCATCAGTCTTCCATCAGTTCTTTCCTCAGTCTTCCCCCAGTCATTCCATCAGTGCTCATGTCAGTCTCCCATCAGTTCTTCTATCAGTCTCGCACTTATGCTTGAATCCCACCTGCAGAGATTCTGATGTAATTGGCTTGGGTGAGGCTTGAAAGTCAGGGTTCTTTTTTTTTTTTTTGAGTTGGAGTCTCACTCTGTCCCCCAGACTGGAGTGCAATGGCCG